ACTACGCCTATCCTTCCCACCAGTAACTTTATTCCCGTCATAGTAGTATTTCCTCCGTTCCTAAGGATAATTAAATTTGACCAATTATAAATAAAAAATATAAATATTTATAGTATAAAATAAATATCATTAGATTAATTATAAAATATACTTTTATAATAAATTAATTTAGAACTATAAATATAAATATTATTTATTAAAAACTTGCTCAAATGTGAAACACCCGATAATCTTTCAGAGGTTGTACCACACAGTAGTCCGGACGTGGGCGCCGTGACGGATGCAACGGTGCATCATTGCCGTGTGGCGGTGGTGGTACTCCGGTTTGTTCGCTCGTACAGGGCGCTGCCACCTGCCGGGCGGGAACGGACGGACCAGCACTCCAGCCCCAGGCGGCCTGTTCGCTTTCCTTAAACCGTATTTTTTTTTAACCAATAAATAATATTTTTTCTCACAATAAATTACTTAACGTATTTTTAGCCCTCGCTTGTCCCAAACGAACAGCGCACGGCCTTTCCATCCAGCGCCAAAGCCTGCGGTGCGGCGCGATGCCTGTGCCTCCACTCGCTTGTCAATGTCAGTGCGTGCCCGTGTCCGTGTCCCGAGCGCGCTCGCCCGCACGGCAGCCGCTGCCCGCTGGTGTACTGTACAGGGCTCTGCCGCACTGCTGCTGCTTTCAATCCTTCCTCCGTGCTCCGTGGTCTGGTCGGTGCCCGGTGCCGCCACCGGCGCGAGATGCAGAGAACCAATCCAGGCATCGATTCAAACCTATGCGAGCAAATCCATGTGCACACAGGCTGAAAAATCATAAGAACGGGATTTGAGAGCTTCTACTAAAACTATTGAATGAGATTCCAACACAAATCTGAGACAATCCTTGATCCATTGATGCATATAGAGCTGTAAGGATTGCTTGAATCTCTGCACTTAACGCATCATGAACCACCTCGATTCTTCCTACACCAACCATCACTGTAGGCCCTTTTTGTGACCCTCACAATAAATCCCATGCACATTTTTTTCTTTGTGTCAGGAAGCCCTTTTTTGACCCCTCACAATAAATCCCATGCACATTTTTTGTTGTTTCTTATTTGGATTCTCATGTGTATGAAGACATTTCATGGCATGTACTTTATAAACTATATCCTCAGTGGACATAAACTTAGGCTGTGTTTAATTGGAAGGAAAGTTGGATTTCATTTCGCATGTATTTGGCAAATAGTGTTCGATAAACTAAACTCCTCGGTTTTTTTTTCGTCATTTAAACTTATTTTTCAGCATTTTTTGCCTTGTTTGCCTTGTTACGTGCATCTCACCACACCCAATGAAAAGTCCAATCACTAATAATTTTTATTGACTTTTAGAGAAAAATTTTTTACGCAACCTATCTTGCATAGTTAAGCTCAATCAAAGATAGATGGAGCTCCTCTAAGTTCAAATCTGTTTGACATTTCTTGACAAAGAGAGATTTTTATTAGTACACTTTTGACTTACTAGGCGTACGTTTGGTACCGCATCTAGAGCAGCTCCAGAACTTGTTTTTATATCTCACCAACCAAATGGCCTCCGGGGAAACAACTTCAGTCGTGAATCTCCTAAATCGTGTTGACTAGAGCTGCTTGGAAAAGATTTCACTAGCTCCAACCTCCAGGCCGGCCCTGAGCGCGGGCGAGCGGAGCGGCCGCCCTGGGCCCCCGATCCCATGGGGCCCCATCCCAGGTATACCGTATATTACGTGGTTACTGCAGATAAGCACAACCTGACGATCCTCATGCGAGCTAGTATTTTGCGAACTCGATTGGTTACTGCAGATAAGCGCAACCATGTGCCTTATCCCTTGTGAGTTTTTTTTTAGCTGTGATGCAAACAGACACTAGCCCTTGTGATGCAAACGATTTAGAGATAGTAATAGTACTGGCTGTCTGGTGGGCCCTGAGCAACCATGCTAACCTGCTTTCTTCATCTTCTCCTATTAAACAAGACACTTTGCTAGCTTCCTTCACCATCTTCTTGCCTCTTCAAAGCGCACATGATTATACGTGCACACATAGTAAAGTAAAGCTTACCTGCTTCTTTTATTTTTTTAAAAATATTTTGTACAAAATCTCATCAAACAGAGAAAAGAAAAAATGAGCATGAGTAGATGAATTAATATAATCACGGAGAGATCTATACATAAGTTTTTTTTTATAAGAGTAATTCGTGATGGTTGACGGGTTGTTGTCGAGGAACTAGAGTATATACCATCATTAATGACTTCATATCGAGAACGTTAGAATAAAATTTTAAGGTATTTTAATATATATGAATTGTTTTTTTTTCTGAAGCGTTTATCATTAACAATGTATATACATAAGTGCTTAGTTCATGTGTATATAAGAGGCCCCTAAATTTTGGTTTTGCCCTGAGCCCCTAAAAACTTAGGGCCGGCCCAACCTCTGTCCTTGCGGGGCCTGGCCCGAAATGCCACTGTGTGTGTGTGGACGACATTGGCACGTGACCATGGAGGACGGCGAGACGGAGCATGGGCGCGATGACTACGCGGAACACATACCTCCTTCGTGTGCGCGAGGCACGTCCGAATGGGTTGGAGTCGAGGGAAGAAGAGACGGAGACGAGAAATAGAGATGACATGCGTGCAGTGGAGAAGATAAGGTGGAGGGAAAAGAGAGAAAAAGGTAAAATAAGTGAGGAAAAAAATGAAAAAAAGAAAAGAAAGAAACAAATAGAAGAGTATAATGGTCATTTTACCGTCTTCAATGAGTAGAAGCTATTTTACCAAATATATTTTACAAACAACTCCAGCTCCACTAGCAGAAAAAAAAAATAATGCTCCAACACCACCTGTGAATTGGAGCTGTACCAAGAGCCCTTGATCGAGACAACTTTAAACTTTTGAAAAACTAAAAATAAAACTAAGACGTGGGTCATAAAAGCAACATTCCATAGAATTTGTTCTAAATGTTTATGGTATTAATTAACAAAAGATCTTTTGAAAATACTGAGCCAAATGGCATTCAAATTATAGATTTGATGGGCATACTCCTCCCGAAAGAACAAAAATAATCACTGCAAAATTAAATATCTAAACTAAACTAGATTTATAAAAATATAAAAATTCTATTTATACCTATATCTTCAAATAGATTTATTAAAAATGCATTATATGATTAATCTAACAATACTCATCTCTATTAATATACTAGGAGTAGAGTGGTACGAGGGACTACAATTTTACAACACTCTTGGGGTAAAATTTCGTGGCAGGACAGTAGAAGGGCTCCAAATTTAAAGGGACGGTGTGCATCGCGCACTGGTACTCCGGCAGGCAGACCACGCGGTACGTGAGTTCCACCACAGCCGCCACAGGGCACAGGGGCGGAACACACGGGCAGCACGCAGCAGCGGTGGACGCGGGTGGCCGGGGATCTAGATCTCTCACCTCCACCTCCACCAACACGCGCGCCCCGCCTCGTCTACCTCCAGTCCACCAAACCTAGCCAGCTTCCCCCGAGTCCACGCCGCCGTCGACCGCCCTGCCCCGACCGTCGCGGCGCCCGCACTCCCACCCGCTGCCGGATCCCCTGCCCCTGCCGTACGGTCTGCCCGTTTCCGCCCGCTCGCCCGCCGCCGGCGGCCTAGCTGGGGTCGAGTGGAGATCCAACAGGAGCAGAGGGTGGCCTCTTCTTCTTCTCGTGCGTGTGAGTAGCACAGGCTCGCTTGGATGGGATGGAATCGATTCTCTCGCTCTGTTTGTTACCTTTGTTTTTCTTCTCCATTCGAATCCAAGCGTTTCCATCTCTCGATTCGTCTCGTTGCGGATTTCGTTTGCTGCGTGGTACCTTTGCAATTTGGGTCCGCGGATTTCGTTTAGTTGTTCCTCTGAAATCGCGAGATCAGTCTAGCCAAGGCGCCGTTACATTTTACTCCCCCGGTAATTCCCCGGGTGGCAGCGCTGCATTGTGTAGGTGTAAGCTCGAGTCCCTGACTTGGGGGAAGTCAGCTGGGTCTGTGCTGTCCCCGCGAGCAATGCGGAAGGAAGTCAATCGGAGGTGGGCGTTGTTGCGAGAATGTGACTTTTGGCGGTAGGTGATCAAATCTCTCGGGTTTCGGGTAATTACTGTTGATGCCATGTGTAGCTGATCGTCGGGGACACTAATGACTCGATTGCAGGTGCCTCGTGCCTAATGTGGTCGTGCCACATTGTTTTGCACCCCTTTCGTGTCTCCTTTCTGGAAATGGGGGTGTGTAGCCACATTGGGTTCACTGCGTATCCGTGGACAGTTTTGTGAATGGATTTGTCGAGAATAGCAGGGGCTTCACACACACTGTTCTATTGGTGTTATGCTGGAACAAACTATCGGGTTAATCCAGTGCCATTGTTGGCTCGTTTTCATGATCTTCACAGAACTAAGTGGTGCCTTGCCTGGGCTCTCCAGATCCGGGACTATCTGATCGATTTAAGGGCAGACACTAATTCACATTATACATCATTCCTGTTCTTGTACTCTTGTTGGCTTCGTTATTGGAAGAGGGTTTTCTTAAATCAAAATTGTGAAGAGCCAAAACAACATACCACTCTTACTGATAGTTTTACATAGATCCTCTGTGTGTGGATACCAACTTTACTTTGCTTCCAATTGACTTCAATGTTTCTGTTCAAGCTTTCTTTTGTTGGAGGCATGCTATAAGTTTCAACTTGCTCAAGCTGATGCTGGAATTTGTCCTGTTTTCTGCATTTTTCCTGTGAGAATAAACTGATTCCTATGAAATCCTATACAATTCCTGTGAAATTCCTTCCTTCCAAAGTGGGTCTGAATATGGCATATTCCTAGTTCTTAGTTTGCTTTTGTATATAACTAAGAAATTTTATTAGTTACGCTTTGAATTATTTCCCATTGCTTATGTACTCATCTATACCTATAACTCTACAAACATGACAGGTGTTGTAATCTTGTCAAGCCCTAGAAGGGCAGCAGTAGTTATAGAGTTGTTCCACAATGGCCTATGATGGAGATGATGGACAAAGCCAGGATTATCTCTTCAAAATTGTTCTGCTTGGGGATTCCTCTGTTGGTAAATCAAACTTGCTAGCAAGATTTGCAAGGAATGAGTTCTACCCAAACTCTAAGTCCACTATAGGAGTGGAGTTCCAGACACAAAAGTTGGTAATCGATGGAAAGGAGATTAAAGCTCAGATATGGGACACTGCTGGACAAGAGCGCTTCCGAGCAGTAACATCTGCTTACTACCGAGGCGCTGTGGGAGCTCTTCTCGTCTATGATATTAGCAGGCGTCAGACTTTTGATAGTGTTGGTCGATGGCTCAATGAACTGCACAGTAAGAACCAATATTTTACTTAACTCTTTTTGTATAGAGCAGACCTGGTTCAAGTTTGCTTCATAAGTTCCTAGTCAATAAACCAAGCTCAGGTCACGTAGAATGATTTGAGTTTTAGAATTAGTATACTTTGCCAAAATATCTTGAAGCTGACCATGAACAAGTGCAACTCAAAACCAAATATACTTTGTTATAAATTTCAGCACTAGGTAGTTTTATATGATCTTGTTTCGTTTCTCATCCATTTTGGTTACGTGCAGCTCATTCCGATATGAATGTCGTCACAATTCTGGTGGGTAACAAAACCGATCTGAAGCATGCACGTGAGGTGAGCACTGCGGAAGGACAAGCCTTGGCGGAGGCTCAGGGCCTCTTCTTCATGGAAACCTCAGCTTTGGATTCGTCAAATGTTGCAGCAGCTTTCCAAACTGTCGTTAAGGAGATCTACAGCATACTAAGCAGGAAGGTGTTTCAATCACTAGAGCAGAAGAAAAGCGAGCTGCAGTCGCTAAGCAACAGGAAAGCCGTGGTGCTGCAGGGTGAGGCCAACCAAACAAGCAGTGGTGGGAGGTGGTGCTGTTCCTCATGACCTGTAAGACCTCCCTCCCCATTCTCCACCTCAATTTCTCGTAACCATCCTATTCAGTTATGCACTGTGACATTTCCAATGGTGTGTATCGTGATTGATTTTTGTCGACGTATCCAGCAGGACACCAGGACTGCCACTATGGAGAACGATGGGACTGGGAGACGCATCTGGGTAAACCCTGCAGGTCCGATTTGTGAAAAGTTGTTTTTTTTCCATGTTCTTGTTCTAAAGGTAAGCTGGCTAGGCTGGTTTTATGAAAGTTGATGTGTTTTCCATCGGAGGAAATCAATGTATAGTTCGATTGATTCCTGGGAGGTATTGAGTTCCTTCGCCAAAACTTTACGTCCTATCACATCGAATGCTTAAGACACATGCATAGAGTATTAAATATAGACTAAAAAAATAACTAATTGCATAGACTGCGGCTATTCTGTGAGATGAATCTTTTAAACCTAATTAGTCAATGATTTAATAATAAAATGCTACAGTAACACATATGCTAATGACGATTTAATTAGGTTTACTAACGGATTCTGTAATTTGTTTTTTTTATTAGTATCTGAACACCTAATGCGACATCTCATGTAACATCCAGATATGACACCTCAAAACTTTACCTCCTCGATCTAAACACCACCTGATATACATGCAGCCTGTTCGGTTGGCTGTTTCGTTTCGTTGCTGGTTCATGAAAAAGTACTGCTGGTTGGTTTGTGTGAGAAAAAAATACTGTACTAGAAATTTACGATCGTTTACACCCGCCACAGCACGTGAACAGGCTGATGATTGTGTAAAGAGAAAGTGCGACCAACTTGACTGTTGTGTCATTCTACATCATTCTAGCCCTAGAAACCGTCCTTTCATTCCGCATTACTCCGAACCTAGACATCTAAGTACCTGACACTGTGCTTTCACCATTCTTAGGATTTGTCTGGGCACGGTAAATTTCGGATTCCCTTCGTTGCGAAATGTAGACCAACAATTGTGCTACACGATTCTGTGCATGGGGCTGTGACCAATCTAGGCTTGTAGATCGAAAAACGATGCACCTTAAAAAAAAAAGGCAACATATCAGTGCAAATCAATCAATATATGTAAAGTTAAAAACTACCGATCAGTACCACTAGATGTTGATCCAATGGATGGATTGAGAGGTGGGATTTTTTTACGCTTAAGCTCCTCACCCGTTGGCTTTTTTTTTTTGCGCTTAAGTCTCCTCACTCCATCCATTGGATTAACATCTAGTGATCCTGATCGATAGTTTTTAAGTTTGTATAGGTTAGTTGGTTTACACCTGATATGTTGCCTTTAAAAAAATGATGCAACCAACCTAGAAGGAACTAGGTTCGATTTTCATTAGAGAAAAATAGGCATAAAAATCTGTCTAACTTCAACTTTGGTGGTCTTTACTAGCTAGCTCAGCTTCGTGAAACAACCACTGCACCTTGTACAAATCATGACACTAGCGCCATTGTGCTAGACTGCTAGAGACCATTTTCCAAACTTCGCTGTCAATTGAGAGAGCTGCAATGAGTGCAGCAGTTGAGAGACCATCATCGCTGGTAATCGTATTACGGATGAACAGTACGCTTTGCTACCCAATGACGAGGACATTTAGGCTCCGTTTAGATTAAAAAATTTTGGGCAGTACCCGTCACATCGAATCTTGCGGCATATGCATGGAGTACTAAATGTAGACGAAAAAAAACTAATTATACAGTTAGGTGAGAAATCACGAGACGAAACTTTTGAACCTAATTACTTCATAATTAGACACTAATTACCAAATACAAACGAAAGTGATACAGTCGTCAAAATCTAAAAAATTTTGGTTCTAAACGGGGCCTTAAGATGTCATCGTCTCATGGGAACAGTATCATCGTTTCCACCAAATGATTGGAGCGCAATAGCTACCATGAAAGGTGACTAAGAGGGTGTTTGATCCGGTGACTAAAATTTAGGAGGTGTCACGTGAGGATGTCGTATAGGATGTTTGGATAATAATAAAAAAATAAATTATAGAATCCGTCGTACTCTACGTGACGAATTTATTAAACCTGATTAATCCGTCATTACAATATATTCACTGTAGCACTACATTGTCAAATCATGGACTAATTAGACTTAAAAGATTCGTCTCCTAAATTAGTCGCAAGCTGTGCGATTAATTTCGTAATTAATCTATATTTAATACTCCATACATATATCAAACATCCGATGAGACAGCGACTAAAGTTTATGAGAAGAAATCTAACACCCCTGAGAAAAAAGCTCCGTTTTACAGTCTGTTCGCTCGTTGGTTTTAGCCAGCCCAAACCAATTAGCCAACAGTGTATTTCTCTCACAAAAAACCAGCACCAACCAGCCCAAACCTGCACCTACACCTGCCAGCAAACAGGCCCTTAAAGTTCAAACCGGGAAGGACAAATCACTGCACCACCTCTGCGTTCTCTCTCATGCACGCAGCACGCAAACCGTTCCAGTCCATCTCGTGGAACAAAAAGTACGGATCTGAACTCAGATGCATTGCACTTCTCTCTGATGCACAGAGATCTGGATGGCAACTCCAGTCTCCAGCAGTGCTGCAGTAGTTGGTAGTACCTTCCGTGTTCGCTGATTAATTTCTAGTCTAATGAGCCCAACTGATATTGATTTATTATAAGAAAAAAATATTATTAACTTGCCGATAAACCTGGACTAAAACCTCGAGCGAACAGACTGACTGTCGTCAGATCTCCAGTTAGCAGAACCATCAGTTGGTTGGTCTCTTCTCACATACGGACCATATATCTTTTCGTTTCAACCAAGCTCTCACTGTCAAATCCCTTTAGCTACCCAGTAGTCCAGTACTACATGTTTCCTCCCCAGCAGACATTTGGGAGACAATACACCTGGTCTGGATTGGGATGAGAAGTGACAATTTCTTGCTTGATTCCAATGATCAGCAGCCCTACATATGTAGCCACCCCTAAAACATGCAATCTATGTTTAGCCTAAAAACCTTGACATAAAACCTCACATCAAGCTAACAGCTTTGTCTAATCTGGCGTACAATCTTTTCGCTTCTACAGTTCTCTTCAAGTTTGAAAGTACACAGTTCAAGTTTCAGATTTACATAACAGCTATGTTCAGCCTGTTCGTTTTGGCTGGATTGGCTTATAAGCCATGGCTGAAAGTACTGGTGGCTGATTTAGTGTGAGAGAAAAAACAATGTTTAATCCGTGGATTATAAGCCAGATACGAGCGAATAAGCCGAAACGAACAGGCTGAACATACATAACTCATAAGGCGTACAAAACATGGTCCTGTGACAACGGCATCATTCTTTGTTCTGCAACCTTGATCTTTCTGTAGCCTATGAGACAATTATCAGTAACAATGATGACATGATCTTTCATTGTAGCCTAGGAGACAAAATTATCAGTAACAATGATGACATGAAATGCATAAAAAAAGACCCCAAGAAAAAAAAATGTTCCTTTAGGGAAAAAAAAGGAAGCCACAAGCCAGTAAACATCATGGTATCAAGCATTTTGCGGAACCACGTGGTTAGTTATTATGATAATGTAGCAGAACAATACACCTCAATGACCTGCTTCTTTGAAACATTTTTGGTCTGGATCTGTAATGTTATAACAGAACAGTGTGAAAATGTGTTTGACCATTACCCCCTCCGTCCCACTATATAAGGCGTGACCACCTCTGGTTTAAAGTCAAAAAAACATATTTAATTCTCTCTCAACACTAGTACTACTGCATCGATGTACGTGCGTCTAGAGAGAGCACGCCTCATATTATGGGACATGACTAAAAAGTTGTTACGCCTTATATATTAGGACGGAGGGAGTATTAAACAAAGTATGAATTAAAACATTGAGGACTGAAATAAGATGGCTTTCCGTCTGTTTAGCATTTTCATTTTCTGGATCGAATAAGCTTAGCAAATAGCCTCAGATAAATAAATGAACAATGGAACACAGCAACAATGTTAGGAATACCGAACTAAAATGTTCAAGAGTTGAAATGAGAAACCTATCATGCACCAGTTTTACCTAGCTTTCTGTCCCTTCCTCTTTTGGTTCCTTGTATGGTCCCGGTTTTAAAGTTTCATCACTCGAAGTGTTCCTCTGAGGTAAATACCCTGCAGGAAGCTTCTCTATTCCTTTTCTGATGATGGCTTTTTTCATACTTGTTTCTCCAGGGGAAAGTTTCGGAATTTTCTTTTTAACATCGAGATATGATCCAGAAACCATGGTAGTAGAGTACATGACTGCAGATCCCTCACTACTTTCTGAAGCAAGAATCACTTGTTCTTCTCCACTGACATCATATATTTCAGCATATCCAGCACATTCGGAGATGGCATTAGAAGACACATCAATTTGCTCTTTTGACTCTAGTATCCCGTGAGCAACATATTGTGGTGCTGGTGCCCTGCATTTTTTATCAGCATCGAAGTTTTCACTGTGAGTCGATTTCAGTTCGCTTGTAACCTCCTGGGACAGTTCATGCTTTGCATCTCGAACATGACAATCATCTCCACTGTCAGCATCTTCCAAAGCAAGCTGTAAATTGCATATCACACATAAATCAAAACCTTGAATATTGGTTTCCAACGGATCAAGATATACCTCTGGAATTTGAATGAGAAGTACTAGAAAAGTAACACCAAATTTGCGCACATGAATGCTCGCAAGCATGTCCAAAAAATTAGAATGCAAGAAGATTTCAGCATAACTCACACCCACGTTAGATTGATGACGGGAGGTTAGTCACTGAAGTGTTGACATGAAGAAATTCAAAGATTAAACAGCAAACGTGCATTTTGATTGTTGCAGTGAGCAGGGCTAGTAGTGACTCATTGCTGGTAGATCAACAGCTCTTTCTTCGCAGACAGTAATGATCATGAAGCAGATGCTGAGCTCACCGAATCAAATTGCTCGCGAGGCAGCTGCAGAGCTTTCTCCTCGCCCCCAGCAACATTCTCTTCCTCGTTCTCCTGCTCCTCATCTGGCTCATTCGCAAGGATAACAAAATCCTCCTCCAAATCCTCATCCCCCGACTCAACGGTCGGCGAATGGCTCCCGTCAAGCAGCCTAGCGACATCCAGGTCAATAGCCTCCTCAGCTCGACTAGCCGCCACCACCGCAACGTCCCCGGAACCAAGCGGTGTACGAGTGAAGTCGTACGCCTGCACGACGCGCGAACTGAGTTAGCCACCTCGGCAGACAGACGAAACGGCGTGCGATGCTGACGCAAGCAGAGACGGAGGGACCTTGACGTCCACGCGGGGACCGAAGCGCGCGGGGCGGCGGCTGGGGAGGAACACGGCCGAGGATCCCCCGCCGCCGGTGGAGGAGAGGGAGGGGCGGAGCTCGCGGAGATGGGCGAGGTAGTCGTAGCCGTCGTCGGGGAGGCCTAGCTCCAAGATCTCGAGGCGGACTTGCTCGGGCAGGGCGGCTCCGCCGTCGTCGGTCGAGGTGGAGGAGGGGGCGGGCTCGCCGCCGTCTCCACCGACAGCGGTGGAGGACGAGGGGGCCTCGTCGTCGGCGAACCCGGGGACGGAGTAGGGGTTCTCGTCGACGCGGACGAAGACGCGGTCGGAGGCGTCGGCGGCCCCGGGGCGCGGGCAGAGGCGGAACGTGGCGAAGTTGCGGGGCTTGCGGTTGCGGCCTCGGCCCATGGCGTCCACGACGGCGGCGGGAGGGGTAGGCGAGGCGCGACGCAGACAGACGCTGGCCGGCTGGCGCAGAAAAATAATGAGACCCGTGCGTTGGATAGACTGGGCTGTCATGGAGGTTTCGTTGGGCTGGGCTTCCCGAAATGGCCAGCTTCGGCTTGTAAGCTGTTTATTTGGTCCAGCATCTGTCCCGCCCGAGTTATTAAATACTACTCGCCAGTGCGTTGCTGCGGGAATTTGCTTTGAGATTTTGATATTATAGTTTAAATGATCATTTGGCCTTGTTTAGATTGAGGTTAGAAATCAGTATTTGACACTGTAGTACTTCGTTTGTATTTGATAATTATTGTCCAAGTATGGCCTAACTAGGCTCAAAAGATCCGTCTCGTAATTTACAATCAAACTATGTAATTAGTTAATTTTTTTTATCAAACCGCGTGGAGGAGGATGGTGGCGCAAAGAATGCGGTGGGAGAGAAGAGGCCTGGAGAGAGCAAACTCTCTACAACACTGCAGGCCCGTGGCTACGTTCAGAGTGTGTATGGCAGTGTAGGCGAGTACGCGGATGATGGCATACACAAACTATTATAAACGCAAAGGCGCGATGGTTCAATTTGCTTTGCATGCGTTTTCAGTTTCCTTCGTTTGAGTTTGCGGTGAGAATTCAAGTGCATTAATTGTTTGGAAGAGAAATCGATGAATAATGTATGTGCTTGTTTATTTCGTACGCAATCATGTGCATGCATTTGCACGATGTGTGCCGAGGGGGGGAGCTAAAAGAGATGGCAGCCGGAGGCAAGTTCAGGTGCATGCGTTTGGATGATGATGCGTGTTGAGGGGGAGTTGAAGAGATGTCAAATAGGGGTGACGTGGCAGCATAAGGATTGAGTTTTAGGAGAAATTATTACTTAGTGGGTATGGACTATATAGATTAGATTAGATACGATACGATACGATACGTAAGAAAGAGCAGCTTATTTTCCACTCAAAAAAAAAAGAGCAGCTTATTTAAGTGTTTAAAAAACTCGTCCAATATTGATGATATGTGTATACATTATGCACTATACAGTATACCTTATTATAGAAATATAGCGGGATCGATGGTAAAAATTCAGAGGCGTGAGCTCCATTCAATTAGTCTCAAATGCAAGTAAGATATCCAGTGAGTTACGTATAACTTACAACATAAGAACAGAAACACACATACATATAACATATTTGTCTGAAAGCTTTCATAGTTTTTTCTATGGAGATCTGGTGCTTTAATTTAATTTACATGATTATTTGATGTCTTATCGACAAATATGACTTCAAAGAATTGCATGGATATCAACTCAGCAGTGAATCACACTATATTTGTTTGACTTGTGATCTCTTCAGCGTGTCCTGAAGACACTCTGCCACATATGTCATCGCTGGCCTTTGATCATGATCAAGATTTAAGCATTGCACAATTATTTCTGCGATGCTGTAAAGAAGCTCGATGTTCTCTGTTGTTGCAATTTCCGGATCAACAACCTGGATCACTTCATTATTTGTGTAAGCATCAAGAAAATCCTTGCGAAACTGATTACTGTCTTCAACTGAGGCCTTCCTCCTTGTAATGAGTTCTAACAGCACAATTCCGAAACTGAAAACATCAGATTTACTGGTTAACAGTCCAGTCTCCATATACACTGGATCCATGTATCTCATTTCACCAATGATTTGGTCAGTGTATTGTCTATCTCGAGCAATCAATCAAGATAAACCAAAGCCCGAGATTTTCGGTACAAAGTCATCACTTAGAAGTATATTATCTGGTCTAACATCACCATGCAGAATCTTCATTGTGATTTGTGAATGCATATAAGCTAGACCCCATGCTGTTTGTGCCGCAATTTGTAGACGTACATCCAAATTGAGGGGCATCATGTTGGATCCATGTAGAATGTCAGTGAGGCTACCTTTGGACACAAACTCAAACACCATAATTGGGATATCATCTTCTAGGCAAACACCAATGAGCTTGGGAATGTTCTCGTGAATGACTCGAGATTGAATATTGATTTCATCTGTAGTTTTTTCTTTTATCCACAAAAAACCCATGCTATTGGGCTTTTTCACTGCAACTGGCTGGTCATTACCACCAATACTCCCCTTATAAATGTCAGCAAATGCACCTTTTCCAATAAGGTTGCTATTTTTTAAAATAGGCTTTAGCTCCTCCTTTTTAAATACCCATACACTGTTCACTTTTTCTAATATTGGACTGTTATTCTTGATAAATTTTCTGACGCGCAGTCAAATCGAAGATGTCAAAATGTCCCACATTATAGACCTGTGTGGAGTTCGAGGTGTAGATTCTGTTGCCATCATGGTTGATATTTTGCGTTTCCAATAATTGATCTGACTGATGGTTAGCTCTTATAAGCATGTAAAGATGTGTTGCTACATCTGTCATCTCTGGCCTTTGATCAACATCAAGATTTACGCATTGAGCAATTATTTCTGTGATACTGTAAAGAAGCTCGATGTTTTCTGTTATTGCCATTTCTGGATCAACAACCTGGATCACTTCATTATTTGTGTAAGCGTCAAGAAAATCCTTGGGAAACAAAGTACTGTCTCGAGATGAGGCCTTTCTCCTTGTAATGAGTTCTAACAGCACAATTCCAAAACTGAAAACATCAGATTTACTGGTTAACAGCCCAGTCTTCATATACACTGGATCCATGTAACTCGTATGACCACTGATTTCGTCGGTGTATTGTCTATCTTGAGCAATCAATCTTGATAAACCAAACCCTGAGATCTTTGGTACAAAGTCATCACTTAGAAGTATATTATCTGGTCTAACATCACCATGTAGAATAGTCGTTGTGATTTCTGAATGCATATAAGCTAGACCCCGTGCTGTTTGTGCAGCAATCTGTAGACGTACATCCAAATTGAGAGGCGTCCTGTTGTATCCATGTAGAATGTCATCGAGGCTACCTTTGGACGCAAACTCAAACACCAGAACGGGGATATCATTTTCTAAGCAACAACCAATGAGCTTGAGAATGTTCTTGTGATTGACTTGAGATAGACGGCCTGTTCGCTGGTTGGTTTCTGGGCTGATAAGCCCGGCTGGTGCTGATTTGTTGTCAGAGGAAAACATTGTTGGCTGGATGATAAGCCTTGGCTGAAACCAACAAGCGAACAGGCTGAGAATGACAACTTCATTTGCAAATTCATTCTTTTGTCTAACACTACCTGTTACTGACCTCTTAACTACAACTGGCCATTTGCCATGAAGACACCCGTTGTAAAGCTCGAAATAGTAATCTCTCCCAAACAAAAGGCCACTTTTAAAAATTGGTCTCAGATCCTCCATTTTGAATAGCACAAGTGTTGGAGAGACATTCCTGATGACTTTGCTGCGTGCAGTCCACCTTGTAAAGCAATGTGGAGTGTGAATTGGACGTGGTTATATTGTCCTGGTTGATTTTTTGTTCTCCCCGTAATGACCATTGTGTAGTTTTTTCCTTCCCTTGTTCATAGTATGATTTTGTGAGCATTTGAAGACGCTGTACAACATCTTTCATGTCAGGGCGTTCATTGAAGTTCATTTTGAGGCAATCACTTATAAGCTTTCCAACTTTATTCAAAATCTTCCGATCAGCATTCACTATTTCAGAATCAAGCATGTCTCTCACCTTTTTCCCTTTTCCAAAAGCTTTCATGAAGTTTTCTGTGAGATCAGTGCATATCCCGTTTTCACAAATTCTCTTCCTAGTGATTAGTTCTAGAAGAACAACTCCAAAACTGCAAACATCATTTTTTGGATTAATGCGTCCCTTAAGAATAAATTCAGGATCCACATAGCCAATGCTCCCAATTACATTTTTGGTGTACTGAGTTCTGTCCATTGATAATAACCTTGATATTCCAAAATCAGCTAATTTTGCACCCAATTCATCATCTAGAAGTATGTTTTCAGGCTTGATGTCACCATGAATGATGGGTTGATACATTGAGTGCATGTAGTTTAATGCTTCTGCGCATTCCATAGCAATACTCAGCCGGGTAGCTAATGAAATGGGATCACGGGAGATGTGAAGAAGTTCACTGAGGTTTCCTTTGGAGATAAACTCTGTGACCACCATCAAAGCATTTTCTTCTGCGCAGTAGCCCAATAGTCTGACTACACTCTTATGGTTTATATGAGAATGGACAATCAACTCTTTGGCAAACCCTTCATTGTAATTCTTCTGGATATATTTCTTCACCGCAACTAGACTACCATTATCAAGAACTCCTTGGTAAACCTCTCCAAAACCCCCTTTCCCAATGAGTGTGCCATGATTCTTTGTAATCCTTAGGATGTCATCTTGAGTGAATTGAGTTATATTGTGATTGTTAACTGGTCTCCACATGGCCTTTTCATTGTCTTTGATTAAGTCTGCCAGCTTGTTCTCCGGAAGATCCATTTAACAGATGCAAGAAAGATTATGCACGAAGCCAGATACTGATTACCTGTCACCACAGAGATGTCCATTCACAGTGCTGAAGTCAATTTGAAGATACAGTGAGGCTAATTTACACGAACTTTGCATAATTACAGCAAAAGCATGCCACTATTAGACTTCACAATTTGAATGAACAAGCAGATCTGATGCACAGTGGTATTTCGTTGAATATTCAGGCATGATCGTGAGAGGCTGGAAACATTTTTCTTATGTGTGCTCTATTACAACAGATGTACAGAGTTGGATCGCAGGTGGGGATAGCAAATTCAATTTCTCTGCAAACTGCATCATGCAATGACCTTGGATGTCAAATAAACCTATACTAACATATACAGTATGAAGCCTCCAAACAATTATAAAAACACTTGGTATGAGTAGGTCTACTGTTTGAAATTATAGGCAAGTCATGCCTCCAAACAATTATAATAACTGCGCTCTCTAAGCTGTACAAAGTTAATTCACGGTGGGGACAGACAATTTGACTAGTTCCAGAGGTGCATATTCATTTATGAGCAACAAGCCAACAACAAATGCAATTCTGTGCCTGAACAGGATCGCGGCACTCGATATGCGGATACCTAAACTCAAACTATATGGTGGCATATACTTGGACTAGCTGTATAATGTGTACTGTAGGGAACCAAGAAGGCTAATCTCCAGATCTACTCATCTAAATGGCTGGGGAGTAGCATATTCTGATAATGTACATACATAAAAGAAGCAATGTACCCTCAGATTCTCTTGTCAAATTAATCGACACGGAGTTGGGATGGAAAAGTTAGAAGGGGCAAAAAATCGGCTGAAGGTAGGAACAGACGCACGCATACCTCTCGAATCTCGATTGATCCGCCAGCCGGGTAATCCTGCGCGGAGTGGTAGCAGGTCGATTGATGGCACCGTGCCACCGTTGAAGGATACTGGCTGGGATGGGGCTACCAAGGACGACGAGCTGCCTTTGGGTCTCTGTAGTCAACGCTTCTTGGTGGTGCCTTACTGCCTCGGCATTATACATACAACAATAGAGCCATCTCCCATCTGGAATAGATTCGCATGCAGCCATCCGCGGAACCGGTCCTTGAAGTTTTTTTTTTTGCAATGAATCCACGGTGCAAGCTGCAGATTCTGACGGAGGCAATGTTGCGGTGGGCGCGGAAGCTGCAGATTGCTCCATGATCCTTTTTCGCACCGAATTCACGGTGCAAATGCAAGCTGCAGATGCTGATCATTTTTCATTTCGTATCCACGGCGAATGTTGCTTCACGAAACGGTACAGAATGCTGACGGAAGCAGAAGCGGACGGACCTTGACGTCTACGCGGAGGCCGGAGCGAGTGGGGCGGCGGCTGGGGAGGAACACGGCGGAGGAGCCGCCGCTGACGGTGGAGGAGAGGGAGGGGCGGAGCTCCCGGAGGTGGACAAGGTATTCGTGGTCGTCGTCGGGGAGGTCAAGCTCTCCTCCGTCATCGGCCGAGGCGGAGGGGGAGGGCTCGCCGCGTTGTCGTCTCCCTCGACGGCGGACGGCTGGGTGCAGAAGAGGCCCTCGTCGTCGGCGAATCCGAGGACGGAGAAGGGGTTGTCGTCGACGCGGACGAAGACGCGTGGGCGGCCCCCGGGCGCGGGAAGGCCTCGGCCCATGGAGAGGCTTGAATGTACTGGGCTGTCATAGCGTTTTTTGTTCTCTTTTCGTGGGCTGGGCTTTCGAAATGTCCACTTCGGCTTATAAGCTTTTTCTGTGGCCCAGCATTCATCGTTTGAAAAAGTTATACCTCCGTGAACTATATCACCTAATCATTGAGTTCCCTAATAAAAACCTAATCACTGAGTCTTCCCTAAAAAAACCTATCATTGAGGCCTTGTTTAGTTCCTCCTCAAAAAATTTACTTACTATCTCATCGAATGTTTGGACATATGCATAGAGTATTAAATATAAACTAAAAAACTAATTATACAGATTGCGACTACTTTGCGAGACGAATCTTTTAAGCCTAATTAGTTCATAATTTGACAATGTGGTGCTACAGTAAAGCTGCAGTAAACATGTGCTAATGACGGGTTACTTAGGCTTAATAAATTCATCTCGTGGAGTACTGAGGACTTCTATAATTTGTTTTTTTATTAGTATCCGAACACTCCATGTGACACCCCAAAACTTTACACCCTAAATTTAAATAAGGCCTGAGTCTAATTTTTCTCCTTAAACTTCAAAATTAGAAAACTTACCTCCTGAACTCTCAAACTACTTCCTTGCCTTGGTTTGGAGTGGTTTTGTCTTTTTCAAGTTAAATTTTTTATAAGTACTTGATAAGGTTTTTAAATTACATAAAATATCTCTACGCTTTAAAAAATTTAAAAAAAAATCTATAGATAGATTAGGATATGCCAAATTCAAATGAAGCACCCAGAGCTCATAAAAATATCTCTATACACTTCAAAGTATTTGGCTATAAGAAAATAGAAAAATATCCACAAAAAATATAAAAAAATCCTAAAACATTCTAATCAATATACAAACATGTTTTTAAATTGGGTAAGGCAAAAATATGAGATGCAACTAGCATGATGCAACATATATAAATGATGAATGCATTCATGCTATGCTTTTATGCTAGTCTGTGCATTATTTTTTTATTACGAAAAGTTTTTTAAACACATTTATACATCGATTAGGATGTTTTGTTAAAATTTCTAAAGTTTTTATATTTTTCCATCTTTCCAGAGCTAAATCTACCTTTGAAGCATCTAGTGTATCCGAGTTTATCTTTAGAATTTATTTTTGAAATTATTAAAGCTTAGAGATATTGTATATGGTTTTAAAACCTTATCAACTATTTATCAAAACTTTTACTACGAAAGATAAACCACCTTCAAAATCACTCCGAACTAGGGAGGGAGGTAATTCAAATGGTTTTGAAAGTCTAGGGTGGGTAAAGTGCCTGACTTGGAGTTTGAAGATAAAATCAGACTACGATGATAGTTCAAAGAAATAGAATGAACTTTTCCCATCATCTTTACAACATGGAATTCCTTACAGCATACACGCTTCGTCCAGGCTTAGTGGCCCTCAACTTCGTCATGAAGGTCATTTTAGTCCTCAAACCGAGGACTGAGGATGAGCCCAAAAGAAATTTTTGAGGATTCAAATGGTCACTTTGATAGTATATACATGAAATTGAGATCAACAATAAAGTATAAGGACTTAAATGGCTATTTTGATAGTTCTGGGACGAAATTGAGCTCAAAATTAAACTTTAAGAACTAAACCGACCACTTTGATAGTACATGAATGAAATTGAGCATCGAATGACAAATGATGGACGAAGTTGGCTATTTCGCTTAAAATTTTGGTGGAACTGATCAATCCATGCAATCTAATATGGTATCAAAACTAGAAATCTCGAGTTCAAATCCTGATGGATGTAATAAAGAAATAATTATTAGAATCTACTTATATTTCTACATTGAAAGTCCGAGAGAGCCTATATATGAGGAGGTGTTTGCTCACCTTTTCCTATAAATTTAAGATTTTAGGTTGACACACTAAACTCTTAGTTTAGAATTTAAAAATATTTAAAAGTACAATCTAATGGCTACAATTTTGTTTGACTCCTCAAAACATAGCTACAATTTTGTTGCTACAAATGTTGTAATATAAGATAGATTACAGGTCAAAAGACTAATTTTAGAAATCGGGTCTTATATTTCAGAACATAGACTTGTACATCTCTGAAGGTTACAGGCCTGCCGCCTTTATTTGTTTGGAGATGACATACTCCTATGGCATTAAGTATCAACAAGTGGAAGTACGTCTGAGTGTCTGACCTTAAACTAATCCACGAGGTTCTTTTAACAGTCTTTTTTACCTGCTAGCAACGTGTCATCTACAAAGAAGGTAAGAACCGACCGAAGATTCTTGCTTTAGTTGCTATCCTACACGAACAACATTAATTCTCGGATGCAACCGACCAAATAGACAATTGCTCACGAGTGTGCATCGATGTGACCTCGCCGTACGTTTTTTAAATAAATTGGCTAGGAGTACGTCCTGCAAAGAATATAAATTTACCTCTACCTTTAATCAAATTATTTAAAGTTGTAATCAAATTTATAGAAAGGAGTATAAATATTTATAATGCAAACTAAGTATATTATGAAATTATATTACAAGAAGAATTTAATGACACTTCTTTGGTCCCATAAATAATTACTCCATCCGTTCTAAATTATAAGTCGTTTTAACTTTTTGGTATATTTATTTTGTATGTATCTAGATAAATAATAAATATGTCTAGATATAAAGTAAAATGGATGAATTAAAAAAGTCAATGCGGTTTATAATTTAGAATGGAGGGAGTAATATATATATTTTTATATAACTTTAAGACAGAGGAGTGTAGTTCGGTAGTTGTGAGAATGCATAAGGGCGTCCCTAACGGGGTTTAAATAGCTATTCTAAATGAAATCTCATTGGTCAGATGAAAGAGAGGACAGCGCGCTAGCGACTCACTCCTAGCTTGGCTCGCACATTCTTCAAAAAGCCCTCTCTCACAGCTTACGTAGTGGAGTACTTGAGACATCCGTTTTTTTTTATTGTTTCTAAGCTGGTGATTTCTCTGTCACCATTGCGGACGCCTTAATGCGTGGTGATTGCTATTGCTTTGTTGATGACCACTCATTTCACTGTCTCAGGCTAGAACGTGTTGCAAAGGGTGGGCACGGGGTTAATTTGTTGCTCGAGACTTTGTGCTAGGTGTTAATGCTACGCTGCCGTGGTTACTAATTAAACCTTGAAGCTTACTGCATTGCGAATAGGTTAGATTGTGGCAGTTGTGCTTTACTCACATGGTGACATATTGTACTAGAAGCATATCCCACGCGTTGTCATGAGATTTTTTTAAAATAAATCTGCTATATACATAGCTTTACTATATGGTATTATGTATACTATGTATATATATGAGTTTAACTTCCATGTTATTTTATTATATCAGATCTGATAAAAAATCGGTAAACTAATAGAAGAAAAACCAATAGAATATTTGATTACGTTATAGAGGAATAGATGATGAAACAAATAGCGTATATAGATGACTTGTATGTTAATGATTAAAGATTTAAAATATTGCACATGATAGAGATGATGTGGATATTTTTTATAATTAATAAGGGATGACATGGACTTAGTGGAGAATTATGTGGACACCATGTGTGAAGAGATAGGACATCTAGTGGGTCACTTAGTTCAAAATGATGTGGACACCTTACATGAAGAAAAAAAATCATATAGTGGGGTTTAGCTTTATAACAGTACATTGATGAAACAAATAGCGTATGTAGATGAATTGTATGTTAATGATTAAAGATTAAAAATATTGCACATGATATAGATGTGGGTATTTTTTATAATTAATAAGGGATGACATGGACTTAGTGGGGAATGTTGTGGACACCTTGCATGAAGAGATAGGACATCTAGTAGGGTTACTTAGTGGAAATGATGTGGATACCTTGCATGAAGAGAAAAATCATATAGTAAAGTTTAGCTTTATAAGAGTATATAGATAACGGAGCAGGAGTAAAAGGAAAAGTTCTTGGACAAACTAATCGGTTTAACTTTTTGTTCACTTCTCCTATATAAGTGTGGAATTATACTATGGAGATTGACATCCTTGCTCCTCTTTTGAAGATTAATTGTGATTTTAACTATGTCTTTTTAACTTTATTTGATTTTACCCTTGTTTGTTAAATCCAAAGCCACCATTCGTATCTATTCTTGATTCTGTTAGTTGGAGGTCAAATAAATGAATTAAGGAAAAAGAAATTTTCAATAAATTTAATGCTAACACGTACGGTAACACCTTATCCTAGCCCCCCAAGTCCTGCAGATGGTTAGTTAAGTATGTAAACTTGTTAAAATTTGCTTGGATTTGAAATATTTGCATATTTTGTTGTAAAAATCTTTCAAAATCTTGTCCAAATATTCAATGCTATAAGAGTTTAGAATCACAGAATCACTAGAATCATATAGTGAGTTTAGAATCTTGTTCAATAAATTTTTCTAATGCGACAAACGCTGGTATGCGATTATTAAGTTGCTGAAATTTTATATTATTTTTTTGTGCATCTTAACAACCTCAAATGTAAAAATTGAAAACTACAAAGTTGTAGATTTAATTGAGAGCTACAAATTGGATGTAAAAAGTATCTTCATTTGACAACATACAAAAATGATATTATTTTTCTAATGCGACAAGCACTAGTAAGTGATTATTATGGTCCTGAAATTTTATATTAATTTTTTGAGCATCTTACCGTTCTTAAATGAAAAAACTCAAAACAAGAAAGTTATAGATCTCGTTGAGAGCTATAATTTTCATATAAAGTTCATATTTATCCGATATCGTATTAAAGAGTTATGATTTTTTAAAGTTTTAGTCTTGTCACGGCACTCTCGGTGGCGCGACAAGGTTTTTCACGTCGGATACACCGTCTAACGTGGCTGATGTTGTCGCGCCAATGCATATGGCGCGGCAACGTTATTTGATCGCCCAAAAGGGTCCGATCCGCAAAAAAAAATTAGAAGCGATTATTATTAAAATATTGAATAAAAAGGATTAAAAATAACAAAATCCTGTTTTTTAGCTGAACTAACGTGGTTAACTTCTCTGAACGGAGGATGGACGTACTCTCTCTTTGTTTTGAAAGGTTGGGGAAATTCACAACCTTAAAAAAATAAAGGTAAAATTTTAATTAAACTTCACAATAGAAGTGCCATAAAACTACATTGAGCACGAGACTGTACACATGATAGCTCCTACCTCACCAAACCACACTGAAGTAACCAAACCGGCACGCTTAATTAGTCCAAAGAAAAGAATATTAGAGTACGGAGCATATACACGTGCAACGTTTTCCCTGTGCGAGTTCTCTATTATGAAACTATCAGCGCATCAGGCACCACGTAGGGGTTTAGTCAGCATCATCATCCACTGGAATCATCAATTATATACCTTGCCAACAATGAGACATAGAAGAAGACAATAGATGAAATGAAACACCACATATATAGTATAGTGTATTATTCCTTTTTGTTGGTTCCCTTCAATTATGGAGTGGATTAGATCAGATTTTAGAGTCTAAGTAAAGAGTACAGACACATTCTTACTCCCTCCGGTTTACTAAAGGATGTCGTTTTGAGGTTGTCTTAAGTCAAATATTTTAAACTTTAACTACAAATAGATTATTTTGGGTTGAGTTTGAAAATATGAAAGTGATGTAAGTAGATTCATCTCTATAAATATTTTATAGCAAAAAGTAACGGTCAAAGTTGTTTTTTTAGACCGTGTTGCTGTCCAAACCGACATTCTTTAGAAAATCGGAGGGAGACTTAAACACACTTAAAAGAAGTTCAACAATTCAGCGTGTATATAAATTTGTGGCACCAGAGTTCAAACCGTTATACCTGGAGTGGAGTGATTCACACACAGCTCCACAACCACAAACACCACCTCGCCAAGAAGTCATTTCTGGCGACTAGCTTTTATATGTCGGGCCTCCTTTTCTTTTTCTCCTCTCTTTTTTGCCTTAAGGAAAAGGACCCATTTAGTTTTTTTTAACAAAAGATGTGGTGGCATATTGTGATTAAGTATTGGTTTTCCATAATTTTATTAGGAAAACACTCACTTAATGTAGTAATTTAAGTTCGATTTATTAAGTTTGTAGAAGATTGTGGTATAAAAGAGAAACACTAAATTAACATAGGAAATTTTGGGACCAAACCTAAATAATTTGTGTACTTAGAGTAATGTCTCTGATTCCACCAGAACGGGGCAAAGAGTTTTTAGATAAAGGATTATTAGTTTTTTTTGCAGTCTTTGCATGAATTTTGCTTTCGACTATGCGTTATTACAAGTTGTGTTATCATTATTTCTCCTTATACTCAATAAAATATTCTATGAGCTAGCTCTTTTAATAGTGTTGGAGCTGCCTTAACCTCAAGATGCAGGAATTGTCTCCTATATATTGTTGCAGTCTCACTCTGGATTTCTCTAAGGGGCCGTTTGGATCCTTTTATTTGAAGAAATTGAAATCTATTTAATAAATTAGACTATTTGGCTTAGAATTTGACATTCCATCACTTTTCAAAATTCACATGTAAGCTATATCAAATTCATAGGATATGAGATAGAAATTAATTCTATATATTTTATGTTTCTATTTTACAACGTATGATTGCGAGCGCAGGTAGAGGCGGTCCCTGCGTGCATGTGCAGTAGCATGGCGTGCCGCGTGGGTAGGCGTGCTAGCAGCAGCAGACACATGCTGACGCGTGCAGCAGGCCGCATGTGGAGTATTAGAAAATCTCGTGCTTGTAGCTGGGTCCACAGCAATGATCGGTTGCAGCTCCCTTGTTTCGGTGACTATACATCACTGGATACTAGGCCACGCGCGTCCGCTTCCCGCTCAAAAATTGTGAGCATACGGGCGTGTGCAGCAGGTAGGGCAGCATGCATAGGCGCACAGCAGCAGGCTGATGCGGGCGCGTGCACCAGGGGGCAGGCAGTAGCAGCGTGCGCATCATGTGGCAGGACAGGTGCGGGCGTCCAGATGGGGCTGGCGTGCGGACGTCACGCCGTTATTGAGTCGCATGTTTAACCAAAAAAGTTAAAACATCTTAAGGAAGATGGACATGTCATTTTATACTTCAATACGTGTCACAGTGCGCGCAGCACTTGTTGGGCAAACAAATTCGTGTCCATCTGAACGAGCCATCCATTTTCACAACGGGCCGCGCCGTGAAAGAACACGGACCAATAGGATGAGCTGTACAAACCTTATTAGTACTAGTATATATAAGTTCCGGTCCGGCACAATTAGTAGTTGTGCTTAAGGCTTAATCAGGCGCACCACATTCCAAGGCATTTTGCGCGTCACGAGATATCCTATACACTACGTACGTGGCTGCGTGAGCCCGTGACGTACGGTTAATTTCTTCGTATTATTCAGGCAATCACTGTGGTCTCGACGGCGGCGGACCGGAGGACGGCCTCGACGTGGTCGCCGCCGCTGCCGGCGGCCTCCCAGAGCTCCGGCAGCGCCTCCTTGATGTTGTGGATGCTCTCCAGCGCCACGTCCGCCCCTGGCACCAGCGCCGAGCTCCCCACCTGCAAAGGTTCCAGTTCCATGGCGGCTCTCGATCAGCATCCGCAGTGGATTGCAGAACGCACACGCACGCACGCAGTGAGAAACTGAGAAAGCTTACGATGACGGTGTGGAAACCGGCGGCCTTCCCGGCGGCGATGTTGCGCGCGCTGTCGTCAAAGAACACCTGCGACGCGAGGGATGGCGGTTTCAATTTCAGTGGAGAATCGAGCATGCGAGAGCAAGCGCTGTGGTTTCGTTTCGTTCGACTACCGTACCGTTCTCTTGGCGTCGAGCTTGGCGATGTCGATGACGGCTTCCATGGACTCCAGCGAGGGCTTGCACAGGATCCCGCTGCCATCCTTCTTCTCGGTCGGTGGCGGATTGAGGGTCTCGAAGCAGATGATCCCTTCGAAGCAGTCCTCGAGGCCGAGCTTCTCCAGGACTCTGGCCGCATGGGCGTTGTCAGAGTTGGTGAAAATCTGCAGACGGGGCAGGGGCAGGAGCAGCAGTTAGTTTCAGACATGAGCATACACTGTAGTCCTTGTTGATGGAAATTAAAGATGAATTAATTGGCATCTTAATCGGGGAAAAGGGCTCACGATCTTCCTCTGCGGCAGGGAAAGCAGCAACTGCCTGAGCACCGGGTCAGGCTTCACCTTCTCATACGGCAGCGTGCCATGGACGCAGGCGTGGAAGTCGTCGTAGTCGAAATCGTACCCCAAAACCTAGCACGTAAATGATCCAAATCAGGAAACATAAACGACGTGGTGTCAAAGATTATGAAACAGAAGCTTTGAATTGAATGAAGGGCAGGCATGCATACCTTGAGGCCGGCCATTGTAGTTCCATACTCCCTGTACAGGTCGAGGCACATCTTGGGGACCTGGCTCTCCTCAATCCGCAGCTTGTTCAGCATGTACTCTGCAATTTGGCCAGTCGTTACTCGTTACACTGCAAGCTTACAAGCAAGCAAGAAAAACTTGGAAGATGCTAGTTGCGGTACCCTGTATGTTCTTGCGGCATGCTAGGTTGATGCCTAGGCTCAGCGGGTACAGGGTGTCATCCATGTCTGCGCGTGCAAGGCCAATTCATGTTTACTTCAGAAGAATTCCATGCAAACAAAGAAACCAACAAACAAAAGGAGCAGCACCGGGGCTCCTCAGTTCATGCTGGATTAATTTGGTCCTCACCAAACAGCAAGCAATCGAACTTGGCTCCAGCAGCGTACGCCTCCATCTTCGCCGTCAGTGTCCTGCACTACGGCACTACCCAATGCAAGAACCCTAGACGCCAGAAGCACAGCCACAACCACAATGTCCTGCAGCTGCAGAGGTTGATGGCGCCTGCATTCCGCATAGCAGGCTGCCGTATTTATACACGAAAAAAAGGCCGCGGCTGGCCTTTGCTTTGTTTGTTGGAGGATGACAGGCACGCACACACAGGCATACGCATGACAGCGACGTCAGTCAGTGGGAGCTGTTTCAGTCAGTGATGTGTGTTTCTGAATTAGGATTTAGGGCCTGTTTGTTTCTTGGAGTGCCTCCTAAAATTTCTGTCACATCGAATATTTGACATATGCATGGAGTATTAAATATAAACTAATTACGAAACTAATTGCACAACTTACGACTAATTTACGAGACGAATCTTTTAAGACTAATCAGTCCATGATTTGACAACGTGGTGCTACAGTAAACATGTGCTAATGACAGGTTAATTAGGCTTAAAAAATCGTCTCGCAAATTAGTCTCCATCTATGTAATTGGTTTTGTAATTAATCTATATTTAATGATCCTTATTGGTATCTAAATATTCGATGTGACATGAATTTTAGGAGCGACTAAAGAACCAAACACCCCTTACTATGGTATTCCAAAACACCAATCGGATAGAAGGAAGGATAGGAAAAACAATGATTCTCAATCAGAATGCAACCTGAGATTTAAGGGATTTGGAGGATTTTTTTCTCCTTTTCATAGTTATTTGTTTATTTAACTAATCTATAAAATTATAAAACTCAATGACTCAAATTTGCTTAAGCTATTATCTCCTGACTCCTGGTAGCTAATCACTAATCAGAGTGCCGTAGCATTGCCCTTCTGAATTCTAAGGGATTCCTGCTTAAACTACTCCAGGGCAGGGATTCCTGCTTTACTCGTCATCCTCCATCTCCAACCATGAGAGAGACTCCGAGTGCTCTCCGACGCGACTTCCAGTTCATGGATCGGAGCTGGCTTGTGGCGCCTGCTTTTGGCGCCGGGTGCAAACGCAATACAATTACGCAAGCGCAACCGACCTGGTGCGTGGATGATTTTTAGGCATGGGTTTTTGCCGGTACAGGGGGCAGGCAGGAGCGGCCGGCAGGATTCGTGGCGATTGTGTGTGTTGCTGGGATCACTCGGCATGGCCTGTGCTGTGCTGTGCTGTGCTGGAAAGGAATCAGATCAGACGATGATGGGGCTGCGGCTTTGGCTTTCAGAGTAGGTAATAAAGCGTGCAGTGTCCTCTGAATGGCATTTCTTAGGACGGGCCGTGGGCGGTGTCAGTGCGGTAGAATCACATCGCTCTCTCGTTCGCTTTGGACATGGCGTGGCGACCTGTCCAAGCTAGCTTTCGTAGGCGTAGGAGACGATCGAGGGGCTCTCTGTCTCCCCCGTCTCCGTTGCCTTTTTTTTCATCGTCTCTCTCAGGCGGCGACGGACGGCGAGGTTCACGTCTCAGGTCAGGCGGCGAGGCGACGCGTCCTGCTTGGCACCGCAATCCGCACGAGGTCAGGTCAGGTCATGGTCATGGCCAGCGCCGTCGCCGTCGCCTTTCACCTTTATTAAAATCTCTACTAATGATGCCCGGTTACTGTGAGGGACATCTGATTTCTACCGTCAATTACTTGTGTCCCTAACACGTGAGTTGTGCGGTGAGACCACTTGAGCCGTTCAAAGTGCGGTGAAATCACACCATCGCTGCTGCTGCTGCATTGGCGCGCAAGGAGCTGCTTTGGCTTTGTTTGTCCAAAAAGTAGCAGCATGAAGCGTGAAACATCGTCTTATTCCATGTTTTGAAAACCTGATTCCCAAACGAGAAACAACGTTCCGAACGCAGCTAGAGCACGGCCCCAGATTAAAGGTACCAAGTGGAGGAACTAAACTGAAAGTCTAGGACGCTGACAATACTCCCTGCATATCTATCAATCAGGCATCTCAAAAGAATATTTATGATATCAAATAAGTGACTATATTCGTCACTCCAACTCCCTGCATATTTATTTGATGTCATAAATATTAACACTCTTATATATAACAACAACAACAACAACAACATAGCCTTTCAGTCCCAAGCAAGTTGGGATAGGCTAACACTCTTATATATAAACTTGATCAAAAATTTAGATAGTCTAGAATCACATCATATTCGGAACAGAGGTAGCACTTGACACAAGCTGCTTCAACCTTAAGCTGTCACAACCTTGAGTTTGTCAACCCTATTCGAAGAACTTGAATGCCGGCAACAACTGAAACCCCAAGGCAGACATCATAACTACAGTTTATTCAAACCAAAACGATGTGTCGTGAGAACAATATTTAGTTCCATCACTTAAATGTTCAACATCTGCGTTTGGCAGAGCAAGGATGCACACGTATCACTGAATTACAAAACCCCATCGAACGTGTCAGAATGTTAGTGTGATCAGCTTAGAAGAAATGTACAGGCTATTGCATTTTCAGTGCACTGGGGCTTCAGCATGCCGTGTAGGCATCTGGCCCTGTTGTAGCCTGCGGAAGCAGGTGGGCTGATTGCTACTCACAACGAATGTGTTGTAGCCTGGAAGGTGGGCTGATTACTTCTCACAGTGAATGTGTTGTAGCCTGCTGAAGCAGGTCGGCTGATTGCTACTCACAGTGAATGGCAGAGCAGGTTCAGTTCTTCGGTTTCTTTGGGACTGGAGGAGGTAAGCTTCCAGGCTTGGCACTTCGTGTGATGCCCAGGAAATGCTCAACCTGCCGAAAAACCAGTCAATATCAGATATCTGAATATATATACCACTGCCCATCATTAAACAAGAGTATTACACAACAGGCCAACCTTTTTGTCCCCAAGCATGGGCGTTAGGCTTCCAGGTTGCCCTGTCTCCAAGGTAGCATAGCTGCCAGCATCACTTGTTTGACTAAAACAAACATATATAAACTAGATTAGTCATCTCATCAGGAATAATAATACATACATAAGGTAGCTATCAACCTCGATTGGAAGGGGATGATTAATGGCGTCTCTATTGGCGGCACTCAAGCTCTCCCATATGAGCCATTGGATGAAAAACATATGGCTCATATTCTTATTTATATTGGGATCCCTCGTATTCTATTTCTAAATTCATGGAAGTTACACAAATAACCATCCATGTGTCCATTAAGTTCCTCCAAAGTCTAAACTAAAGGCAATAAATCCTTATCAAGTGGGTTTCCACTTGATACTTTCCCAAAGCTTACAAGGCCAACATAAATAACTAGATAACAATTTTATATCGACCGATCAAGATTAATAAACAAAATGAAATATTAGTGAAAGAAACAACCGTGTACCATAACATAATACTAAAATCAAGAAGTGATGTTTGTAAATATAGGAATTCAAGGATATCAAAACAATCTGTCAAGCTTAATGAAAAATAAAATACTTCATCCGTTCCAAATTATAAGACGTTTTGGCTTTTCTAGATACATTGCTTTTACTATGCATATAGACATAGTGTATATCTAAGTGCGTAGCAAAAGTAATGAATCTAGAAAAGCCAAAACGTCTTATAATTTGGAATGGATTGAGTACAAACTGTGGAGGCTGTAAGCATGTTGTGAGCATACCCTGTTTTTGCATTGCCACTTAAAATGAGGTATGGTGTTTGGTTGCGAGATTGAGCCTCTCTCATCTTTTCCGCGGCCAACAATGGTGTATCAGAAGATTTCATATGCTCGGTTTTCAGCTCATCCTCGTATCTCTACTGGCGTTTTTCTTGTTTCATTTTACCTGTCCCCTTGCCATGAAACTTGTGCGAAAGAAAACGGAATGCCTCCCTAGGTGTCATCTGAGGGGGAGAAAACACATAGTTCAGGATAAACATTGTCATTTTTTCACATCCAATCTCCCAGATGTCAAATAAATTGCAAGAATAGCACCAAAAAAGAAATGATTATCATGTTGAGAAAATAAGATAGTACTAACAATCTATATAAAGAAAGTTAGTTCTTGCCAAAATCATTAAAAATGCAAAATGCAGTTCAGTAATCAATTTCCGTTGTGTCTATGCATCATGGAGACCTGGGTGGGAGTGGGCAGGATGATGTGGCTGAGTACTTACCACTCTACCAAATTCATCTATTCTTTCAATGCGAATGTCTTTAGGTCCATCCTCCACACCTATCAGTTTGCTCTTTTTCTTGTATGTAGTTCTGCCTCCCCAATCTGTTCCCTCATTGAGGCTCCCTCGCTCCTTAAGAATCTTCAAAGCACCAGCTAAACCCTTGCCTACTGCAACTTCATGTATAACCTCATCCGGTTTGACTCCATCCTCTTCAACCTTGGCTGGTATTTCTGTCAGAGCTTCCTCTTCCATCTCTGCCAACCCATTAGTGTCATCTTTTGCAAGATTATCTGAAGGCATGGCATCATCATCTTCATCCATAAACACATCGTCTTCTGGCATGCGTGTTCCTGTTAAAAAAATAACAGCAGTAGTCAATACTTAAGAGCTCATTATCACTAGGACTTGTAAACTCTATCACACATCATCAAAAATTTATATGGAAAAACCTTCAAACAGGTTACCTTGATTCAATTGTAGTCCCCACACAAACTCTTCCATCTCTGTGATAACAACCTTATTCTGTTCTGAATCTCCTTCTGTGGCTTCTGTATCCTCTTGGCTCTTGGTTGCAGTAGCCAGTTCAACTATGGACTGAGGACCAGAAGCGGCAGCCTCTTCCTGCTTCCTTAGGGCCAACTTTCTTGCTTGCTCCAGAGATTTCTGCAGATCTTCATAATCATCACCGAAAACAAACTCTTCTTCTTCAGCAGGTTTAGTAGGTGCAGTTTTCTCCTCGCGCAATGCTTTTGATGCCTCTTCAGCCTTTGCAATGGCAGTTTGATATGCACTATTTCTCTTTTCAGCATCAGCCGCTTGCTCTTCCTCCCTAGCGGACTGTCTCTTTCCATCGTTCCTGGAGCCACGATCAACGGCCCCTAATCCAGAAGCAATTGCTTCTGCCTCAAATGCATCCAGATCCAGCTTCTCCTTCTTCCTCAAGGATTTCTTTTTCTTTGGTTTTTAAATTCAAGCATTTCATCAGGCGTAAAATAGTCTGTTGACACTTTTGTGGTGGAAGTAAGGTCTTCCGTCTTTTTCTGAACATAACCACCTTCAATCCTTTTTCCGGAGCTGGCAAAAAAACGTCTATCAGTTCATGGCTTCATGCAGTGCACCAGCAGAATGTATTTGTATTATCCCAAGAAACAAGGGAAATGCCGCTAGTTTTCTACTATGGTTTATAGGGCAAAATATAAATCACCTCTTCTAGCTTCTTTTCTGCTTCACCGGTGAAACGTCCACCTTCATCAAGTGTCACACCCTGATAAGTTTAAGACAACACAATTACAGAAATATCCTGGAAATGCAAGCAAATGAAGCTAAACAGAATGTTTACCTCATCTTCCATTTGGTCATCATAATGTGACAGCATCGACTTCTTTGACAACAAATCATCGCTGAACCTACAAACAACCAATAAAATAAAGATTAGGGGACAGATCTATGAGACAGTAGCAACAACCAACGACCATGTTATGTGCATAGTGAACTTACCTGTCGTCATAAGTTCCTTTCTTCTTTGAAGCCTTATAAGCTTCATCTCTTTGTTTCTGCTCGCCAATCTCAATGTTCTCAAGCATATCAGCGTCTACAAAATATTTTCTTTTAGAGAAAATGGCCAGACTGAGAAAAGATGAGGGAAAGAGACAGAGAGGAACCTTTACCTTCATTGATATCCCCATTGGCAAGAATACTCTGATCTTTGAGAGTCATGACAACTGCACCACCTTCCAAAACCTTATCAAGGCCATGAAGAACCTTAACACCAGATAAGTGGTCTGTTTTTCCCAAAACAAAAAACAAAGGCACTTGTAACCATGATTGCAATTCACAGTATAATAAAAACAAACAATTGTATCACCCCAAAAAATGTAGCAGTTAGTCAACTATTAACAGTTCCAAGAAAAGAAAGTCTTTGCAACTAAAAAGATTTGTATATCACTACCTCCAACTTGTGTATCTTCCTCTTCATCATCATCATCGTCGCCGTTTTCTGCCAAAGTGCCAAGATATTATCCTGACATCAAAACAGATTAAGGTTAGTGAAGGACATATACCTTATGACAGTATATCCAAAAAACAATTGGCAATAATAACCTGTTCCTCCAATGCTCGTGCAAGACATAATGCTTTCTCCTTTTCAGCTTGCCGTTTTTCATCAAGTTTATGACTCTTTCCCACCCATGACAGTATCTCAGAAGCCCCATCATTACCATCCAGTATTCCTCCTTCCTTTTTGTCCTTCAATCTTTCCTCCTTTGCCCTACAGGAAAAAGGCTGATTTAGAAATTATTTGCATGTTTCATTGCTTAATAGCGAGATTTGACAGCAAGAGAAAACATTAAAAACTCTAGCTTGATCATGATTTACAAGCTCCATTGCTTTATAAGTGATGGATGAAGATGTAAAAGGGAAGCAGAACCAAATCATTATATACTTAGCTGTACTTTGTTGAACAGAAACAAAGATTATTAGTTGATTCAGGAACGATATACAGACTGTTAACAGATACACCATCCGTATTTAAATATATGACATTTAGGACAAGCTAATTAGTTCTAGCCTGTCCTCAATGTCATATATATATTTAAAAATGGAGGGAGTACAATATATGACATTCACGGATTACACTGAATGGTCATGGTTCAATGATAGATCACTACCGAAGGTTTCTGTTGCCTAAAGTCTCAAGGCCTATAAAATGTTCCTTGAACTTGCATGTTTTTCATGCTTTGTGATAAAGATTGCCAATGTTCTACAGTGTAAAGGTTTCTCTGTTCATAACTTCAACATCAGTAAGGCAGTATTTTCCAGGTTGTTCTAACCTGGGAACCTTAGGAAACCTTCAAAGTTGTACAGGTTTATAACAACACGACTGGTTTCAACCAAAATGCACTTCATATGCACATTAAATGTGCTGGAGACAGCCATCAGCCACAACTTTGCCTGACTAATGCATATGAACGCAACAAGTAAAATAAATCATATGAAAAATAGCCGTATTTGCAATGTTGGTTGGTTATGCATAAATGCTGTCTTGAGTTAACCATGTATTAGCAGAGAAGGTGATGCAATTAAACGTCGCAGGAAGACAATGCCCGTGAGAATATTATTAATTCCGTTGAGTCGCTCTATCACCTATATATATCATTCTGAACTGAGGCAATGACGACATACAGTTGATCAACACGCTATCAAACATATGAAGAAGGAAAGACCAAGGAGTTACCTTGCAATGCGCTCTCTGAGCTCATCTGCTGCGGGCTGCTCAGCATCCCCTGAGGCATCAACTCTCTGCTTCTGATCCCCTTGTCACCCTTGGATGAATCTGCATCATCTTCTCCACGACCCTTCCCCCTTGACTTCTCGTGCTCCCTATCGTCCCTCTCTGCCCTATCCTTGTCCTTGTCTCTGTTGCGGCTTCTCTCCTTATCCCTGTCCCTCCGCTCCCTTTCCTTATCGCGCTCTGCTTCCTTATCCCGGTCTCTGCCACGGTCCTAGTCACGCTGCCGATCCGGTTCACGCTCCCGATCCTTGCCCCGTTCACGGTCACGGTCACGCTCTGGCTCCTTATTCCGGTCCCTGTACTTGCTATCCCTATCCCTGTCTCTATGCTTGCCGTCATCATTCTCCCTCCTCCTGTCGTCCTTCTCTCTCCCTGTCCCTTCTTCCACTACCATGGTGATTCTTCTCCTCCCTCCTATGCCTCTCCCTCCTCTCCTGATCCCGGTGCCTCTCACCACCGTCCAGCTCCATCTCGTCCACCGGACCAATATATATAGATCAGATCCGAATACAAATACCAATATAGTATAGATTAAGAAGTTAGGGTTCTGGCGCTCGGTTCGTACCCAAATAGATTTAAGTTAGGGTTCAGGTGCTCGATTTCGCACAACGGTAAGTGGAGAGAAGGGGTTACCTGGTGAGTGCTGGGCGCCGGCCAAGGGCCCGACGAGCGAAGGAACCGACGAGGCGGCGGTCGCCTAGTAGGGCCACGAAAGAGCGCGCGCACGTAGGGTGGAGGGGAGAAGAAAAGGCAGGCGGTGGGGCGGAAACCGTCGGTGCCGACCAGTCGGATCGAAGCCGCGCGCCGATCCCTCCCCCCCTCCGCGCTCACGATTTCGGCCCACAGCAGCTGGTGACGGCCCATCGCCAACCCAGGTAGAGCGCGCCAGCGCAGGTAGAGCTGCGTTCCGTCGAATTCGTTGATTCGTTCCGTTGGTTGGCTCGGTTGGTTGCGTTTATTTTTCTTTCTTTTTTTTTTTTTTTGTTTTTCATTCCTTTCTAGTATTTATTTTTTATTTTTATTTATTTTCATATTTTATTCTTTTTTATTTTCTTTATTTTCTTCTATTTCTTTTTTCCTTTCTATTCTTTTTTTCATTTTTCTTTTTTTGGTCTTTTATTATTCTTTTGTTTCCTTTTTCTATTTTCATTTTCTTATTGTATATTTTTCTTTTTTCTTTACTTTCATTCATTTATTTTCATTTTCCTTTTTTCTGTACTTTTGTCTTTTATTTTATTTATTCTTTACTATATTTATTTTACTCTATTAATTTTTATTTTCTTTTTCTTTTTTGTACTTTCCTTGCTTCTATTTAGTTTTATTTTTATTTATTTATTGTTTTCTTATCTTTTTATTTTTAAAATTTATATATTTTAAATTTATTTTTTATATGTTTTATCTTTTTTATTACGATGTTTATGTAGTATATATGTAATGTAATGTTCTATGATGTATTTTTTGATGTCCACGAGTAGGAATGTGAAGTTCTACGATGTATTTTGTGATGTTCTAGATATATTTTGTGATGTTCGGTAGCATTCTTCTTCTTTTTATTTGACTTTAATTAATTACTTAACTAATTTTATTATTTTATTTATATTTCATGATATTTGCGATGTTCACGTTGTATACATATGATGTTCTATAATATATTTAGGGATGTTTGTTTAGTCTTAATGTGATGTTCTACGATGTATTTATAATGTTCGCGTAGTATACATATGTTCTATGCTATATTTAGCGATGTTTGTGTAGTCTTAATGTGATGTTCTAGATGTATTTTTAATGTTCGCGTAGTATACATATGATGTTCTATGCTATATTTAGGGATGCTCGTTTAGTCTTAGTGTGATGTTCTACGATATATTTGTGATGTTCGGTAGTATTTTTTTATTTGACTATAATTAATTAGTTCACTAATTTATTTATTTTTATATTTTTTTATATTTCATGATATATACGATGTTCGCGTAGTATACATATGATGTTCTATGCTATTTTTCTTCGATGTTCGTATAGTGTTAATGTGATGTTCGACGATGATCTTTAAATACAGGTTCACCATGGATTAAATGTTTGTAAAAAATATCAAAATGTATCCATATGAGGTCTTGTTTTGAAGAGTTTATTGCAATGAACATGATGGTACAATCGGATTCTAATTAAGATACTTAGTTTAGGAGCTGCGCTTTTTTCTACTTCAAAAGGTACGGAATATATGCTGCCTGTATGCTGCGCGTTACGCGGGCCTGGTCATCACGTAAGCTCAAATTCAGTTTGCTGTGCGGCCAAATATTGCATGGCAGGAAAATAATTGGGGGGCTCGGCACCAGGTAACTGCCACCCGGGTCGGTGGCCAGGGTCCCCCGGCGGTGCGGACTGTTACAGTGCGACTGCTCGGCGCGGAGGCGGTCGCCGACCATGAACTAATGCGGCATGCTGTACATTGATTTGGACCCAAAGACTTTACATTGGGCCTGCGTTCTTGGAATTATTAGGTGACTGGCGTATGAAATGATCGCTGGGAGCCTAGGACAAATTTTCCAATGCCGTAATTTTGTATGAAACTAAAAATATAGTTGCTAAAGCAAGCATTTAATAATTAAATTCAAATTGCACCATTGTGTTTTGTTACATTGATGGCCTATTTGGAATTTTGTATAGAATTCTAAATCTATAGGAAATTTTCCTATGTGATCCTTTGGAATAAAGGATTAGTCGTTCTAAAATTCACAAAATTCTTATGGAATGAATGACTCAATCCATAGGAACTTTGAAGGAAATCTAACGTGAGGTCCAACCGTTTGGAAACTTTTCTTTGTGTCTGTCCCTTCTAATTCATGTGTTTCTCCTGTGGTTGTATCAAATGCTCCCTTAGAAATTTTTCTGCGCTTTTATTTTTTTATAGGATTGTAGGTGACATGCAACTTCAATTCTATGTTTTTTCTATTCTTATGTTTTGGATATCCTGTCCTTTGCTCTAAAAGGGCCCTAGAAATTCTTGTAGCATTTCTCCAAAACAACAGCCAAAAGGAAAAAAAATCCTATACTATTACTGTGAACCAAAGACGTAAATAATAGCAAGAAATTGAGCAATTTGTAAGAGATGTGGACAACGATGTATGTCGGGAAAATTTCCTATGTTTTGGATATCATGTGTTTTAAAGGGGCCCTAAAATTCCTGTAGCTTTTCTCCAAAAACAATAGCCAATGGAAAAATTCCTATACTATTTCTATGAACCAAAGACATAAATAATAGCAAGAAATTAAACAATTTGTAAGAGACGTGGACAACGATATAGAGGAATAGTTCTCATCAAGAAAAAAATGAAGGCTGTCTTAATTTGGCCTTAACAAAAAATTCATAGCTACAAGATTAGAGTGAGAAAAGAAAGAAGATATGGATATGTCAATAGCTTTACGTCAAGGAATTGATCAACGATCTGTATATGGAGTTTATATCATGGATAGGTCGCACGATGAGAGAATAATTATATTAAAATAGATAACAAAAATATTGCAATAGCTTTTTCAAGTAAACAAACCCTGATCTTTATAGGACACATGTATTTATGTCATGATTGATGGAAATGGAAGCGACATCAGTTATAAAATATAAAGTAATTAAACCCAGATGTTGCGGTAAAAAAGAGAGTAAAACACATCATGAGTTCTTAAACATTTCATGGATTCTCACATGGATCCTCGGACTAAAAAAGTGTCCGTCGGAGTCCTCAATTGACTATGGTTTCTCATATAGGTTCTTCAACTAAAAAGTGACTATTTAGATTCTTCAACTAATGTTGCGCCCAAGTATAGCTCCAAATCTTACCACACCACCTCCATATGCCTACGTGGTTGTGCTAGCGTGGCCGAGACCAAGTGAAACTTGCAGTAAAACACCCCTCCCTCCCTCTCTCCTCCATGTCCACTCCCTCCTCTGTCTCCCGTCGGTCCCGCACCCATCTCATGGTTGTAGCCATGTGCTCACTTGCGCCTCCCGTCGACCTTGCGATTACCCCTGCGCTCTAGAGGCACATGCCAAACAGACAAAGAAAGGTGTGCAAAGCAAGTGAGATGGAGAGGGAGGTTTTTTCAACTTGCACGACAACATAGGCAGCTCGTGGTGGTGTAGCGGGTTTTGAACCTTTAATCGAGTGCAACAGCAAATTAAGGACCTATGTGATCACTTTTTTAGTTTGAGAACCCAAGTGAGAGTTAACAGTAAACTAAGGACTCAAATAATAACTTTTTTGGATCAAGGACCCAATTGAGAATCTATAAATAAAAAGTTTAAGAAACCATAGTGTAAAATATTAGCTGTCCATGCTTTTTTGTGTTGCTAGTTTCTTTTCACTTTCCTAGTTATGGTCTCTTTAAGCTAGCAGTAATATTACCCTGGTGCACTCCTCCAGGAACCGCAAAAATTTTGGAGCAATCCATGGTGAAAATAAGTCAAGTTAGTGGCAATTTTTTTATTACCCTGGTGCACAGGCACCAGGATAGCTCAACGTGGCGTCGCCCCTGGTCTCTTAGGGTCATAATCTTGTGTTTTTTGCGCTATATCAATAGAAACAGTGCTGCCCGATAAAAATGTGTCTCTCGCACTTTGTTGAACCATCCTACTTTATGTATCAGTCAATGCAGAGTTATACAAACACGAAGTTAAACTGAATTTTATGCTTGCATTATCAGCCAATGCAGTGCACTGCACTAGTGTAGGGTTACAGCACGAAGCTGAACCGGATTTTAGGCTTTTAGTATCAAGGACTCGAAGTCATTGTCCATGTTCGGTGATCAGCTCATAGCTTATAGGTCATGCGATACAAAGTTTATCCTATAGCCGCTATACAATGTGTATTTGCCGTGACCTTAAGACGTAAAACCTAAAGTATAGATTTTTGGTGGAGAATACTGAAGTGGTATCGAAATGGAACAAAAAAACAAGGTGGAACCAGAAACCTTATAATTTATAAAATGATTAGCTTACATCATCATCCACTAAAGAATGTACAAGAGTTAAAAACTTTGAATCCATGCTCAGAGCAGAAAATGTGGCTGTAGTTTAGTGGTGAGAATTCCACGTTGTGGCCGTGGAGACCTGGGCTCGAATCCCAGCAGCCACAATTTGTTTTGTTTTTTGTGTTTTTAGCTACAGGGTTACAAGTGGGCTGTTTTGATTTTTTTTTAGCTACAGGCTTACAACTGGGCTGGACTGTGTTCTGGCCTTCTGAGTGGACTGTTCCGGGCCAAACGCAGACGCTCACAGTGTTTTTCATTTTCAGTTCCATTCCACAGTGCTGCGGTACTGCGGCGGCGGCGTAGCCAGAGCCGGCAGC